AAGATGGGAAATGTGAGTGAGGAAATACCTGTGCCATGTTATTCCAGGGCAAACCATACTGTTCCATGCAGGTTGTTCAGGAAGCAGCTGGAGCTGCTGTTTGGAAAATACATTCCTCTCTCTACCATGGGCAAATCAATATCTCAATAAGGGGCACATTCCTGCATGGAGCTGGCAGGTGTCTGCCACTGCACCAGGACTGGCAGTAAGAATGGCACAACCAAGTCAACCACCTTTAATTTAATTATGTGTATTAATGCACAAACCGTGTGGCACAAGCTCTATGTGAAGTGCCTTCTTGTATAGCAAGGTTAAATTTCATCTTAGTGTTTTTATATTAATGTTTTGCCTTCTGAAATCCAGCCCCTCATACTAATTCTAGTCCTAAACAAGAAAAGCTGGGCTTTTAAAATCAGATCTGATCAACTGGAAACAACCAACAACCAGTTCTAGAAACCAGTTGACTCCAATGCGAGCTCCAAGTGTGGCTCAGACGATCTGAGGGTATTTAGGAGAGAAACAGCCACGTACCACTGAGACTACTGGGAAGTACCAAATCCCAGGTACAACAAATCTCCTATTTTGCCCACAAACAGCTGCCAAAACAACCAAGGGATTGGAGAAACTATCAAATGGGAAGGGATGAGAGGCGTGTGCCTTGTTTGCTCCGACGGAGTGAGAGCTGGAGAGGGATGTGATTGCTGGCTGGGGAGGTATCAGTGCTGACACATCCAGGCAGAACAAGGACACATGGATGAAAAACAGCTCTGAGGTTGGAAATCAGGAGGTGATTGCTACCATGGGATGATGTCCCAATCAGAGCAAAGGGGAAAAAGTCAATTATGGTCTGATGGAGCTTAAAAACTGCCCAGGATTATGCAAAGCTCGGCTTGGTGGCACTGGCCGGGGCTTCCCCACAGGCACAGCCCTTCCACCACTACTTTGGGACTAGAAGTTTTGTTTTTAAGCATAACCTTTTAGCCTTGGTGATGCACAAAATGTGCAAGGTCACCTCCTGGCACAGGGAACCAGAGCTGTGGAGCAGCTGGGAAAAGAAAAATCAGTGAGACCGAAGGGAGAAACAAATTTCCAAATGCCTTTGGAAGCCTTTGTGGAGCAGCAATCCCATTTCCATGGAACACTGAAGCCCTGACCCAGACGTGTGAGCAGGTAACTCTGGCAAGAGTCCTCAGCAAGGGTGGGTGGGAGCAGGAATAAATTTAGCTGGGTTTGCTTTGGAGATCAGACTGTGCTCATAACACTGTGCTTAGAGGATGGTCTAGAAAAGATTCCAAACACCCCCGTGTTTCTGAATCCCCTGAAACACTGAATAGAAGCAATTGTCTGAAGGAAGAGTTCTCTCAGATTTCAAACACAAAAAGATAATGGGCAACTTGAGTTAAAAGCAGCTATTTTGAGACAAGACAACTTCAGTTTCATGGTTATTTACCTGATACAGCGGGTCCTGATGACTTTCTGCAGCAGAGGGTTTAAAAGAAACCTTGCTTTATAACTTTTATTTTTCTGAGAAATGTAAACTTTGAGCTGTTTTACTTATTCTTTGGTTCCAGAAACGAGCAGGAGAGGACATGAACTTCTGACCAGGAGTTGTGCCTTACCTGGGCTTGGTTTAACTGGAGAATGAAGCTGAAATAAACTTCTTTGAGAGTTAAGATTTAGAAGTTAGGAGCCCCTAACTTATGCATATTTTCAAGGAGAAATCTCATTCCTTCTTTTAAGAATCATTAAAAAAGCCCACAAACAACACCATGGGCCTGATAGTAAAGGCCAGATAATTAGTGCAACACATGTTATTAATCCTGCTTGGAGAACATCCTGAGTATCATCCATCCAGATTAGCTGGATGGTGCCCCAACAGCCGGATTCAGGGATGAGACATAGGGATAAATCTGCCTTCCCTGTAAATGGGAACAGGAGGGGCTGAAGGATGGAAGCACAACCCCCATCTTTTCTTCTGCCCCTTTCCCAGGGTGGGAATGGTCCCTCCTTGGCCTGGCCCAGCTCATGCTGAGAAGTCTCCTGGCTCTGACCAGCCTGTGGAACATTTGCTCTTCTGAAAACACTTGACACATCTGAGATGTTCATCTCCTACAAGTTTTCAGATCAAAATCAGGAAGCCATTACCCTTTGCTTTCATTTAGTAAATAACTGCACTCACTTTGCTGCAGGTCCAACGATCCTCCTGATACACTTCATTCCTTCTTGATCCATTATTTTATTGGATACTTAAGTCACCCTTATCAGGCAGTTAATAAGAGGATCGTTGTCGATAATTAATGGCAACATCTTCCTCTGAAAAACTAATTAATAGAAATGCAGCATCCATGTCCTTTGGAATGTGGCTCTGTTGAAATATCTTGTTAATGAAGCTTTGGACACTTCCAGGGATCCAGGGGCAGCCACAGCTTCTCTGGGCAACCTGGGCCAGGGCCTCCCACCCTCCCAGCCAGGAATTCCTTCCCAATATCCCATCTAATCCTACCATTCCATGATTCCACAGAGGATGAGCGTGCAGGCACAGCAGAGGGAGCTCAGTTCGGGGCACAGACGCGATAACATCTTGTCGCACACACTCCGTAATTAATTTTAATTTACTTAATTAACAATTCAGTCTTTGGGGAAGGAAGATGAAAAAGTTCCTTCATAAAGTGACAATGGGTGATTGTTCTCAGCTTCTTATCCTGGAGGCACTGGGGATAATGAGAGCTGGGGAAATACTTGGATAGATTGATTATATGGAGGGGATGGGAGTCCTCCGGCACAGGCTTCTGTAATGGGCACCTCCTCCCCCTTCCCATCTTCCCAAGGAATTCAACTTGGGGTCAATATACGGAAAAGTAAAAGTTCTCCTCAAAATCCCACACTCACGGTGTGGGAAGTCAGGTACGGATTTAACCTCTGCCAGAAATAATCATCCCTTCGCCAAACACTCAATCAACAGACAACAGAAGCTGGGGAAATGATGCTATTAAGATCTGAAGGTGGAAATTCCCAATCCTTTTCCCTGGCACACATAAAAATAAAATGATATACAAGAAATCCGGCAGATGCAGCGTCATATGGAGCCGCTTAATGGCAACGCTCAGCCTTCCAAAAGGAGATTTACATCCACAGTCGCTCCTAAAACTTGACATTTGCGTGGAATAATTCAGAATTTGCTGCTTGCTGGGCTTTGTTGCCTTTCTTACCTCCCTCAGTGGTGTCAGTTCTGCTCTTAGCAAAGCCCATCCCTTCTAACAGATGCAGACAGTTTGTTGTTACTCTGCAAAACTCGGTTCTGTGTTTCGCTAAACCCAGCTTAAAACTGCCCCCTCGAGGACTCTTTGCCTGCCACAGATTTAATTTGCACCATTACTGGGCTTCAGCCTAATTCCCCCACAACTATTCCAAGTATTTTAACAAGGATCACATGTTGGACATGTGTTTCCATGCCGACGTGTGTCTCACTTCAGGACAAACTCATTCCACCTCGCTCCTTGTACGGATGCAAATGAGGTGCTGGGAGGACATTCCTGTCCTGCAGATAAAAGGTGTTGGAAGCTACATCTGGATCCAGCAGCTGCCCAAAAACTGGTCCCAGTGGGTGCTAAAGCAGGACTTTATAAGCAGTTTTATAAAAGTTATTGTCCTATCTTATTTATTTTAGGGTTGCAAATACCAAACTTGCACTTCCATAAATCTCCTGTTTGTCCTCATTTTTAAAAGGTATTTTTTAAAAAGTGTTGTATTTGTTTGTTTGATTTCTAACACTTTATTCTATTTTTTTCTTATTCTGCCATAACCAAGTTGTTCATGACAAAGGTTTAGGCAGTACCAGGTTTTTCCTGGCACTTACTGTGACACCTTGGGAAGCAGCTGGTGCCTGTGTGGGCCTGTGGGCTCCGCTCCATCTCCCACTTTCCTCTGAGAAAAATCTCAGAGAGGTTTCTTTATTAAATCCCAGACTGGTTTGGGTTGAAAGGGACCTTAAAGCCCATCCCATTCCACCCCCTGCCATGGGCAGGGACACCTTCCACCAGCCCAGGTTGCTCCAAGCCCCGTCCAACCTGGCCTTGGACACTTCCAGGGATCCAGGGGCAGCCACAGCTTCTCTGGGCAACCTGGGCCAGGGCCTCCCCACCCTCCCAGTCAGGAATTCCTTCCCAATATCCCACCTGTGATCTCCTATTTGTTATTTTGATTGATGAAACTCTTAAGGTGGATGAGACCAAGTCTGGGAACTACAGATTGGTCACAATCAAACAAATGAAAGACAGGATGGGATAGGATGGGATTGGGTAGGACAGGACAGGACAGGATAGGACAGGATATAGGATAGGATAGGATAGGATAGGATAGGATAGGATAGGATAGGATAGGATAGAGGAGAGGACAGGATAGGGTAGGATATAGGACAGGATAGAATAGGATTGGATAGGATATAGAATAGGATAGGATATAGGACAGAAGAGGATAGGACAGGATAGGATAGGATAGGATAGGATAGGATAAGAAGGGCTAGGATAAGAAAAAAGTTTCCCCTCATTTTTCAGTGGTGAATCTTCCCTTTTTCCTCAGCAGCAGAGAGCTCAATCCCACAACTGAGAAAGATAATGACAAACCCCAATAATTTTGGTGTTATTTTTATGACATTTTCTGTCCCTCAAGAAAAATCAGCGAGAGGAGCAAGAAATGATTTTCCTGGAACTGCAAACGAGCTGTGTTTCTATCAGGAGTTTGGAATTGCTTCTCTTTGAAAGAGGCCTGAAATGATTGTGATTTGATGAGATGGGAACTTGTGAAGTAGGATTAAGAACATGTCCATCCCACAAACCTGTTTTCTGTCTGAAAAGTTGGGTCCTCACAGCAAACTCTGCAACCCCCCCGTGCACGTTCTGTGGGTACGTGCGAAGCAGAACCCAGCTGAGTAGGAACTGTGTGCATTTTTGAACCCAAAGTATTTATTCTTCCATATTTATTCCATTTGTTCTTCCATTTAGGGAATTATAAGTGCCCAAAGGACTCACCTGCAGCATGGACCTGGATGTGGATGTGGTTGGAAAAGCCTTTGTTCCCCAGCCCACTCCGTACCTGGTTTAGCTCCATTCCCAGCCGGGCCCAACCCACAGCTCAGCCCTGGATCATTCCCTCATTGGGATCCATTCCTGCCTGGAATTCTGAAACATCAGTGACAGTGGTTCTCTTGGACTTGTGTCAACCTGTGCCAGTGCTTTCCTGGGATTTAGACACAGGAATGTGTGAGGATGCTCTTGCTCTTCCTTCTCCACCCCGCTTCATCCTGTGTAAGTACATCAAACCCCTTCCCATCTCCCAGACCTTTTCCAAAATAGGCATTTCCAGAAAGAACTATTCTAAATATATATATATATATAATTTGTTTCCTGTTCTAAATCCTAACCCCTGATCTTCTGTTGGGATGACAATTACAAACACTTCTCCTGACAGACGGAATCTTTCGCAGGGGATATTTCGAATCAAATCTTCCATTTTAAATTTTGGTTTTGTTTTTTTTTTGGTTTTGTTTTTTTTTTTTTTTTTTAAAGCAACAACAAAAATTGCTTTTAAGTGTTGGCAGCCAAGGGATCAGTTGTAAAACCTGGCACAGAGAAATGAGCCGTGGGGGTCTGATTTCCCACTGCTGGGCTTTCAAACGCAAAGCAAATATAAGGGATCACCAGTCCAGGTTAAACCGGAGGTGGCCGGTGGGAATTTCTGGGGAGCACCAGGATAACCAGAGACACCAGGAGCAGGGCAAGAGTGTTGGTGGGCTGGTCTGGGAGGTTCATGGAAACCCCTCAGCTCGTGAGCTGAGAAATTTATATTTGGTAGGACTTTTTTAAAGCCTCAAAATGTTTCTGCAGCATCGATTTGCCCCCGGAGTGAACTGAGGAGGAACTAAACGACCTGTCGGTGTGTTTGGGATTCCTGTAAATCTTGGGGATTTTGGGGCGATCCTGAAATGCAGATGTTGAGTTCAGTGGGGTGGGAATAGTGGAGTGAGGGGTGGGATGGGGGGCGTTTTGGGTGGGTCTGTTCCTGGGATGTGCTTCCACAGCCACCGGCTCCCTCAACTTACCCGTCGGACGCCGCAGCCGCCGCCAGGACCTCCATGGAAATGCCCAGCTATGGGATTTGCAGTGGGATTCTCTTGGCCTTCACGCCCCTAAATCGCCCTCAGCACTGCTGGTTGCTGTTTAACCTGGCAGAGGTGCCCTGTTTAAGGCCGGGCATCCCACGGTGGCACCGTGCCAAGCCATCGGAACACGGAGTCCCTGCCCCGAAGAGAACAGCACAGGAACTGTTTTTTCTGGTGATTTAATCATAATATTGACAACTTTATCAAAAAATTACAAAACTGATATTAAAAAAATCCTCTAATTCTTAGTAAGACTAGAATGGGTTTGTTTTTGTTTTTTTTTTCTTTTTTTTTAAAAATAGAAAAGCACTTTTATGCTACGGCTCTTCTGGAATTCTCACATTACAACCCTACATAGCAAAATACAAATTGTAGCTAAGAAAGGTACCAGTCCTAAGGTAATTCAGTCCACCACGAGCCCTCTAATATCTCTAGACCATCAAACTCAGGGACTCCAAAAGGATATCACATCACTTAGAAACCTTCTGCAAAGCTGATTGAGGAAAGACCTTTAAATTTTAAGTTCCTTTTAACCCCTAAAACCTTAGACTGTGAGGAAAACAGACCTGGGACATCAGAGGTGGGGTGGGTTTGGTTGTTTTTTTTTTTTTGCTTTTTTTTTCTTTAATTTTCCAACTCTATGAATTTTAGTTTTGCAGCTGACACCAGCCAAAGGTTTTCTGTCAGAACACGAAGAAAATCCATTGGAACAAATGAAAAGATTTTTTCGTCGTTGTTCCGTTTATGGTGTTCACAAAACGCACCATAACAGAAAGAGGAATTATTTCCTTTAATTTGAACGTCACCTGAATGACTCAACCACATTGTCACCCACTCAGCAAAAAGAAAGCATAATAAATAAATAAATAAATAGACAAGAATACGTAACACTTTTACATCCTCAAGGAATCACGTCGTTCCCTAAAATCTACCGAGGTCCTGATCGACGCCGTGGGCTCGCTGTACTCAGCCACTTCACTTTGGGGTGATTGTGCCATATTAATGACAAAGAAAGTGGTGTTCCACTTGCCACAATGGAGTATTTTTTCTTTTTTTTTTTAATTTTTTCTTTTTTTTCCCCCCTCCACCTTTTAAATATAGGAATTCTCTCTTAAATTAGAAAGTAGGCAAAAAGTACTTTTTTTTTTTTTAAATTTTCCTTTTTTTTAAGTCTTCTATTAGAAAAAATAGAGATTTCTTAAACAAAAAAATAATAAGGTAGAAAGAGAAGGGTTGGGCCTCCATCAAAAAAGTAGATTATGCTTTAATGCAAAGAGAAAGAAATGGCTCTATGGGCAAAATTCAAGTATGAGTGACCAGTTTTTTTAATTGTAAAGTCGGTGCAACATTTTTTGAAAATGTTACAACACTGCACGACCTGTAACGCTCACAATATTTACAGGAACTGCTTACACGGAACCAGGAAAACTCGGCAAGAGAGGAGAAAAAAATTGGTCTGGACTGAAAGCAAACTACTGCTACCCCCCCAGCAATGCCATCATCCACCGAGGGAAGCGGGGCCACGGAAACACCGGGAAGTACAACACCTAAACACTCCCAGGAGCTTGGACACAGGGATGGGATGGGATGGGAGGCAGCGGGGGCTCGGGGAGCCACGGACACGCCCGAGGGACACCGGCGACCGGAGCGACGCGGGACGGAAAAACGGGAGCCACTGCACCCCAAAACAGCGGGAATGGGAACCCAGCGGAGCAGGGCCATGGAGCTGCCCCATGGAGCTGCCCCATGGAGCCGTGGGGTCCCGCCCGGGCCGGAGGGGACGAGCCCGGAGGAGCCCAGAGGTAGGTGCTGCGTGCCCGGGAACGCGGGAGCCCAGCCCAGGGAATCATCATCCTCGGGGTCATTCCTTCGGACACACACTGCGGGACCTGGGACAGGAGCAAGGAGTTGGGATCCTGGAGCCCTGGAGAGCCCAGGGAGCCGATCGCTGCCAGTCCTCGCTAGAGAGCGACATTCAGGGGAAAGGAATCTGAGGTAAGTGGTGATCCCGGATGAAGGACTCCACCCCGGGACTGGGAATGGTGAGCAGAACTATCCCAGGAAGCCTTGAGGATGCCACGGCTCCCCTCACCATCCCCACCATCCGTGGGGAAAAAGAAAAATGAAATCCAATGGAAAGAATGTTGTGCTACACTCCCGTTGGTTAAGTTTATAATGGCTCATAGCTTTAGACTTTTAAATCTGTAGTGTATTAATTTCTTCTTTTTTCTACATATGTTTCACATTTCTCACTTAATATAACATAAATAATTTGGTTAATAGATTTAACCTGCGCATTTCAGCCACATTAATATATATAAGAATCTGTTAATGGTATAAATAATTCTTTTTAAATAAAATAAATCTGATATGTTACATAATACTGATAAAAATCACTGCTGCTAATAAGTTTTGTAAGCCACCCTTAACTTCTTTTTGTGTTTCAATACCGAGGGATGGATAGCGGGATTACCTTTTCCAGAGCATTGCCCTTCCATTCTACTGCCAAACCAACTGCAACCAACACTGATCCCTTCTCAAAGCAGGGCCTCTGCCCCCCTGCAGGGTTAATGAAGTTAGAGGATCTCAGCTAATTAATCCAGGGGGTCCACGTTACGGGGGGGTATCGACTGGTTAGTTCCTCAGGTGGCTCTGAAACCTCACCTACAGAAATGCTTGACTAAAAACAGACCTCCTACTATTCCTTTTTCCTCTTCAATCCAACCTACAGCATCCTACTGGAAAAGCTACGGAAACCAAAAGCACCCGACGGCTGCGGCCTTGGAATTCTCCATCAGAGCTGCGATCCCACATCCCATGAGGAATCTGCACCCTCCTGCAGGGACCTGAGTGGAGTACAGTACTTCCAGGCAAGGTTCATTCCAAACAGACAGGATCCATGAACACTCAGTGGCGTGAAGGGGATGTCATAATTAAGGTATTACATAATCATGCCTTCTCTCTGCTGTTAAATACAAAAACAGCATCTTTTACATTATCATATAAAAGCATTTAGGCTGTATTTTTATTTATCACTTTACACTGGTAGTCTCTTGTATGTGTACTCAATAGAAACCAAAGAATTTTGTACACTATTTTTTGTACAATAAAAGATAAAGTGTGCATTAGGTACGCTTGTACATGACAATATTGTACAATATTTACAGTTCAGATATCACCAGGAAATTCTGTATTATCTATATACACAAGGAAAATTTCTCAGAAACATTTGGACTATTTCTTATAATCACAATTTTTAGTATCATAGAAAAAAAAAAATTCAGTAATCATCTGACATTGTTACTGCAACCATTCCAGATTTCTGATTGGCTTCTCCAGCAACTTCTATCCCTCCTGATCATCCCAAATCTTGTCCCACTGCCCGGCGTGTGCCCCGCTGGCATCGAGCTGTCCCCACATAAATAGTGATGTACCAGCCTAGAGCAATACCTACAGATGGACTCAGTGTTCACAAGTACTGGACCAGTAACAAAGACATTCAATGTTATCTAGAGATCTTCCTCCTCTTGAGTTTTGGAGGCTTCACTTGTCTGTCTCCCTGCGGGATTGGGTGGACCTAAAAATAAGTATATTCACAGGTTAGCAAAGGACAGTGGGCAGGGGGGTCAATGAGCTACGGGGTTGATTAAAGGGCTGTCAGGAAACAGGGCTCAATATTCCACAGCTGCACAGAAGCCTAAAGGAACTCCAGGAATTTTGAGGAGCTGGGATGAAAGGGTTGATGCCACATCCCAAACCGGCTGCAGTGCTTGGAAAACCACATAACCAGGACCTGATGCCCAAACTGCAATTCTGTCAGATTGGCAGTGGCAAACCTGGAGACTCTGTCAGGACAAGAGCCATGAGGTGGGAAGCAGGTGGTGAGAAAATGCTGCTGCCAGGGAAAGCCAGAGCAGCCCAGCCCAGGGCTGTGGGGTTATTAAGGAATCATCAGCAAACTCCTCGGCCTGTGCTTCAAAGGAAACACTCAGTTCTGAGCCAAAGGCTGGATTGATCTGAGAGCAAAACTTGGGACAAACCAAGTGGGAGAGGAGGAGGAGGAGGAGGAAGGCTGGGGCCTGGTGTGGAATTCCACCACCATCTGTCAGTGGCAGCTGCAGCTTCCCAAGAGCAGGAACTGATCCTTTGGCACTTCCTGGGCCCTTCCCAGCTCCTCCAGCCCCCTGCCATTCCCTGCCTCTGCACTGGCTCTCCCTCCCACACATTTTCCAGCTCAAACTGACTGATGCCTGAGCTGGAGTTGCTGAAAAAAAAATGCAAGTCACTACAAAGAGAAGTGCTGATTCCTGGGAGTGTTTCTAGGAATGGTAATCTTCATGGAAATGAACCCTGAGCACGAGTTCTGAGCCCGGATAATTAAAATATAAATCAAGATGCTGCACTGACACTCAGGTGCATCAGTTTGGTGGGACAGAGCCACCAGCTCAGCAAATCCACTTCCAGCAGTGGCAATGCACAGCAGCTTTCAGTATTCCTGGATTTACACATGGAAAAGGTGTCAGCAGGATGGTCCAGCCCGACCCCACATCCCTGATTTAATTATAACAGACCCACAGTCAGACCCTGCTTTCCTCATCCTTCCCAAGACAGGAGGGAAACGCCCCTTGGTTCAAATCAAAGCTCAAATCCCAGTTTGTAAAATTCAGAAGTTTAAGCAAAATATCTGATTTTGTTATTACTCAGAGCAGCTACTAAAAGCTACTGAAAAACTTATTTAATATTCCTTGGTGGCTCTGAAATCAGCTCTGTTCTGCAGTTATTATTATATCTATAAAGAATATATATAATATACATTATATATAAATATATACAAAGAAAAAATCTATAGTCTTATATATGCATATATTTCATTAATAGAATATCTAGATTATATATAAATACATATAAAAATAATATTCTTATATATGCATATATAGATATTTCCTTTTTCATACTCCAGAAGCTCCCCTGAAGTGCTACTCTCACTTCCAAACACACACATCTTCAGTCCTGAGCACTGAATATCAGCAAAAAGACCTTTTATTCCCCATGTTCAAACATGTTATCATTAATTATTTGAATAATTAATTACTAATTATAAGATCGAGGAGGTTGCATGTGCTGTGGTAGATTTTTTTTTTAAATTTTCCAGTGGGCTCCAACGAAATTACAACTAAATATGAACATGAGAACATTATATAAACTAAATTATATATCAGAAAGATTCTGGACTGAGATAATAACAGTGAATTATGGTAGAAAAACCACTGTTGGATGTGATATTAGAAATACCCTTTTTTAAAACTTACCTTTCATGGCAATATCTTTCATTTCTCATGAGGAAAACTTTATTCCAAGAGTTTTACATGCAAAGAATGATCCTTTCAAATGTGGCTTCTACTCAAACTGAGAAACAAATGAGCCTGATTTTGTGTCATTAGTCAGAGAAACCCCCTGGAATATGAGTGGGACTGGAAGTGATCCCAATATTTTCAGGTTCCATGAGGAAATCTCTTGTCAAAAGCAATAAAACTGGCAATGCAACTACAATTCTACAACTTTTCCCATCTTTCAGAACTACCTGACATTTGCAAACTGCCTTTTAATGCAGGAGAAACATTGAAAATTCCACATTATTGAAGGAAATAGAAACAAAACTGGGTAGGAAGCAACAACCCAAGCCAACCCTCCCTCACAGACACACACAGGGATACAGGAAAAGGAACTTACATTCCCAGACATTTTGTCTAGTTCACTCATGGCCTCGTGTATAGCAGCTTCTAAATGGTTATTTAGCTTTCCACTTCTAGGAGGAAAAAAAATAATGCATCAGTCATTCCAAATAACAGCAAAAACCCCTTAAAAATGAATGATAAACACAGGAACTCCTTGGGAATGTTGTAACTGTGGAGCCTCCCAGGCTGCTGGAGCACAACAGGAAGATCAGACCTCTGGATAATATTATGGGAAGTGAAGCTTGTGTTGGAATTGCTGAAGAAAAGTTAAATGTCCTTCTAACTTTAAACCTAAAATATTCCTGGTTTGACCCTGGAATGAAGCACCCCAAGGGCTGTGGGACAGGTGGGGGGAAGACTTTGTTCTTCCAACCCCAAATTACCCCAAGGCACTGAGAGACACCATTATGGGCATCGAGCCCCATATCCTCAGGAAGTAAGGAAGTGCTGCCATCCTTGTTATCCTGCCTTGGAGAGGCAGGAAGGAGAGGAAGAGGAAGAGGAAGAGGAGGAGGAGGAGGAAGAGGAGAAGAACCATCTCAACCATCTCTATCCTGAGGGGAGGTGGTGGCACAGACAGGGAAGGGAAGGAAACACCTTGTCCCCAGCTGGCACAGGAGACACTTCCTATAAAAACCCTTCCCTCTAATCACAGAATCACAGGATGGGTTGGAAGGGACCTTAAATCCCATCCAGTGCCACCCCCTGCCATGGGCAGGGACACCTTCCTCTATCCCAGGTTGCTCCAACCTGGCCTTGGACACTTCCAGGGA